AGATTCTGAGTGGAACGATGAATGTATTGATTTTACAATGATGTGTGTTTTTATATTTTTTATTTTTTTATTTTTGTGTCTGTGTACACGATAAGTAGTCGAAATAATGCTTCGATTTTCAACTTCAGTCTCTTTTTCGATTCGAAAGTGAATATCGTTGGTGCATTGGGGAGGTCAAAATTTAAATTTCCCAATAGTTTTCACAAGCACCGGGAAAAACAACATAAAAATTAAGGAAAAACGGGAATTTTTACGGAAAATCTGTTTTCGAGAAATTCGATTTTGGTTTTTCATGCAACTCTTAAACAAATGACCGTAGGTACATGAAATGTTGACTGAATATTTATATTAGCATTTTCTATACACCATAACATTTTCCAAATATTTTGACTTATTTTGAGCTCTTTACGGACATTTTTATTTTCCATTTTTTTTTAGTATTTTTTCTAAAAATATTAATAAAATTTTATTTGTTGGTTGCGAAAGCTTGAAAATTTAATAGAAGGCTCTTAGTATATTGTTTCAAAGGCAAATGAAAAATATTAAAAATCCTTAGTCACAATTTTTTTTTTATAAGCATTTAAAGTTCAAAAATTGACAAAATATGGAAAAATCAAGAAAATTAGCAAAATATTTTGAGTTAAGAATTCGTAAAAATTTTCCTTTTAAATCTAAGATTTGAAAATGTAATACAAGATTCCTTATAAGATTATCTACCTTTATCAAAAAAAAAATGTCTATAAGAAAGTCAAATTAAATTTTTATGAGCGTCTGAAATTCAAATTTTTACAACATTGGATACCCACTCGATTTCTCATGTAGCGATTTCCTTATTATGTTGTAATTCAAAAACGAATAACTGTAGATACATGAAAATTTCACTGAATTTTTATATTAGAATTTCCTATACACCATACAATTTTGAAAATATTTTAACTCTTTTTGAGCTGTTTACGGCATTTTCAGTTTTCAATTTTTTTTAGTTTTATTTTCTATAAATATCAATAAAGTTTTATCTGTTGGGCCATAAAGTGTAAAAGTTTAATACAATTCTGTTGATATATTGTTACAACATCAGTTTAAAAATATTAAAAATACATATTCACAATTTTTTTTATAATTTTGACAAAATGTATCAAATTAATCGAAAATTATCAATCATTGTAATTAATAAATTATAAAATGTTCAGTTTTTATAGCTAATGATTACAAATTTACAACAAAGGTTCTCATAAATAGTTCATACTGTAACCGAAAAATCTAAAAAATATATGAACACAGTCATTTTTTACAGACATTTTAAATTCAAATTTTGACGAAATTACATAATAAAGTACCTACAATAACTATTTTAGTTATTTTGCTGTGATTGTATAATATTATTCGTGGGTACTTGAAACTTCTAAAGTATACTACTATATATCTATGATAGTATCAAGATTCGTTGTTGGTGTATAACGCGTTATAAGTACCTAATGGATATTGTGATATGATTAATTTGGAATTCATTATAGGTCAATTTTTTTTAATACCATAGATAAGTATATAATATGTCTTATACCTAGAAGGACATACCGCCTCCACTCAGAATCGTTTTTCTTATACAATGATATAATATCATTGAATTCAAATGTAATACCATCCATTATACAGTGATCCACTTGTAACCTACTGTACAGCAGAGCGACACCCACTTGCACTCCTTTTTTTTTACTTAAATTCTCCATCTATAGAAATATTTTATATTAAATTGTATTTTAAAATACATATTTAACTACGATAAATATGATGTATTTATACTTAATAATATCTCATTAATTAATGATACGTTATTAGTAAATAGTAAATTAGATATCTATAAATGTATATGTAAGCCTATTGTATTTTTAATTAAATTAAAAGTGAGGAAAACTAGTCTTAACATATTATTGCATCGGTAAGTAAGTACCCAAAACAAATGTTGATTTAGTTGCATATTTAGCATCGAGTTGTGGTTCCATTGTTCATACACAATTTTGGTTTTTTGAACCCGTTAAACACTCATAGAACGAATTTAATCTCCGGAAATATAGTGCTAATTAATATAATTAATAATTTAATATGATCTAGGTATCGGTATATTATAAAGAAAATCAAGAAAAAATATTCTTTAGGGTCCGAGATGATAGACTGACCTAATCTTTTTGTCCAATACACCTAAGTAAAAATATTATTGGTTTTTGTACCTAAATATTTACTATTGTGATTTAAAAATAGTTTACAAAAAATATTATAATCGAATTCTTCGTCGGTTCATTCATGTCCGAGGTGAAATACTTACGAATAGGTAATAATATAGTAATTATAATAATTATTATTATTAATGACAGTAATTCATGGTTTATTTTAGAATTTTTATATAAATTGATCACATATTTTTATATTCTTATTTCCTTCATGCTTTCACGCGCCAAATGATTTGTAATATTATTAAGTCCTCTTAAATTTTTTATCAGAGTATTTTATAATATTTGCAGTTTGAGGATTACTTACAACAAATATAAATCCACAATATATACCATCGTTTAAATATGAGTTAAAAGCTATTAGAGTTAAAATAGGTAATATTTTATTATTAAATCTTCGTATAATTAAGCTCAAACTTTATTCGAATACATTTTTGTCGCGCTCAGTGTGAATTTAATATTACACCGATGATTAATTTTCGTTATCGTTAGACATTTAAGGGCAATTAAACAGAAACTTTTATCCCCCAAAGTTACAAAGTAAGAAGATAATATTTTAACCCCTTTAGGAGAAAGTGGAAATTATAGCATGCCACGCAGTTTTACTTGGATACCTAAAGTATTTGCACGTGAATTTAAGAGACAAATATAGAAATTCACTTTGAACTAACTATTCTAAAAGCATACACACACGAGAACGTGTATACCTACAACTTAACGTACAGTTATCATTAATGGAATTTCATAAAGATAATTCGTAAAGTAAATTAGAAAATGTACATTCACGATGGATATAGTAAATAGTTAGTAAACCACGGAACCGAGAAACAATGTATGTTGTTCCACTTAACATATCACAGCAATGTCCTGAATTATACATTTATACCAATGTCCTATATACATAAAATGATATGTAATTTTGATTCCAAAAATGAATTCCACATAATATTTACATTATTTACAATTTTTTTTTCTTTAAAAATGTTCTGCAATATAATAACAAATAATTCAAACAGACGTGACCTAAATAAATAACATTTAGATCGCGAAAGAAAATTCAATCGCAACAGCTGATAAATTAAATGATAACACATCAGTATACTTATAAAATGAAAATATTTTTTGACTTGAGTAAAAAATATCACTTACAAGAAATATGTCTGCGGTTATAATCATAAACAAAGGTAATTTAAAAATGATTCAAATCTCACATACGTATAATGTGCAGAATGCAATTTCACATCAGATTTTCAATTTCCGATCGCATTTGTAATCTTCATAAATGATCTATAAGGTAAATAATATTAAAATCAATTCTTCTAACGCTGAATATTCAACACAATGGATTTTTAATATTTTCCTAGTTTCTATCAACGATATTTTTTAACCTTATTCAACGTAATAAGTTTCTATAAAAACTAGAATCCTTATATATTATGTACCTATATAAAAGAACAGGCCTGTTTTATGTAGCAATTTTCTGACGACACTGTTGAGCTTTTTTGCAATTTTGTTTTCACAGACTTGTTCCACATAATTTCTAGAGTGTCACCATATCACTCGATTTTTCATTTTTTTGTTTGTAGGGGAAGGATATTAGGTGTATTATATTTAAATCTTACGGTTTTTTAGCTTGTCATTTAAATAATTTAATGATTTTTTTTCACAGAATTGGTTCAAATACTTCTCCAAGTGATCTATAATATTTCCAATTATATTGTTATTTAGAAAAATGCAATTCCTGTTGTTTGAAATATACCTTGAATGTCTGTTGTTTGAGAAGAATGTACATGCACCGATGACCGATTATATTATAATCGTTTACTCACTCTGTCGTAAATAAAGACTGACCAAAATTATAAACTACAGACTAATATATATTTTGCTACATACTTACATATTTTTAATATTAAATTCATGCGATTTGTATGGAAAACACCGATCACTTTATTTTTATACCACGAGTCAAGACTAGCTGAGTTACCTATATAAATTGCATTATCGAAAAAATGTAGTTTCAACATTTAGGTACATTACCAACTATAACGATTAGTAGGTAATGTATTGTCTTTATAGTTTATGACATCATCTAATATTGAGATACGCCGATATGTGTAGCAGGTGAGTTTATTTTCTCCTATGCGAAGTCGGGCGATACAGCTATATAGTACAATATAATCTATATTTGTTAAAACACTGCTATAGCTAAAAATTTTCACAGGAATTCACCTAAAATGTTGCTAAGCCCATCCAAAGGCATAGTCAAGGGTTGGTTAAGGGGGTATTTCTGCTCCCTCCTAACCCACATAGGCCATATTTATTTTAGCCGACAGACTTTAATATTATATACCTATTACTTAATAAAAACTACTGAGATAAATATTTTAAACATTTTGAAATTTTGTGTAGCTGAAACATATTAGGAATCCTTATTAAAACTTTGACAATTGTGAACACAGACTTACACAAACTTATATACCTATAATACAGAATATTATACACAAGTCTCTGATTCTTAATGACTTTTTAATATATAATAATACAATACAATTTTCAACCAGAACAAAATAACAATTTCAACAATCCGGCTGGCTTGTTATAAAAACATTGAATCCGTCGCTAATGGTATAAACGCTCAACGTTTGTTATAATAAAGTCATTAACGCACTGTGGACCGATAAATTTGTGAATCTTCGTCAAACCATATATCTTCGCAGTACTCACACAAAATATATCCTCTGTCTTTATTTTCGTCCAAACCATCTTTATTATACTATGGACGCATTGGACGGAGTATCGCCGAAGAAGGTCTTCAAACCCTATTGGAGAATGACACTCGCCAAATCGTCGTGTTGGGAAAGGCCAGAACTGACGCCGGCCGTTGTAGCCGAACCGTATCGGAAACCGATGCTCGCAAAGCCGTCGTGCTGGAAGCCGCCACCGACGCCAACTGTTGTTGCCAAACCCTATTGGAGACCGTTGCTGGCCAAGTCGTCGTGCTGGAAGCCGCCACCGACGCCGACAGTTGAGGCCAAACCATATGGGAGACAGATGCTCGCAAAGTCGTCGCCTCCATGGTGGAATCCGCCACCGACGCCGACCATTGTAGCCAAACCGTATTGGAGAATGATGCTGGCCAAGTCGTCGTGCTGGAAGCAGCCGGAACAGACACCGACCGTTGTAGCCGAACCAATTCGGAGATCGATGCTCGCAAAGTCGTCGCCTCCGTGGTGGAATCCGCCACCGACGCCGACCGTTATAGCCAAACCGTATTGGAGAGTGACGCTTGCAAGGTCATTGTGGTGGAGACGGCCACCGCCGCCTCTTGTCGCCCAAGCAGCTTAGAGACCGACGCCTGTCGTCTCGCCGAAGCAGCGTAGAGAAAAAATAAATAAACACTTTTTTTAGAGAGTACCGGTATGGTGAAATCCGAATCTATTGAGTCTGATCGTTATAGTTACGGCCAGTGAGCTGGGGCGATAGCAGCTCATCTCGAAAGCATCTGGCGCCCGAAGCCTGCTTCCTGATCTCCGATCACATTGTAGCCACAACGCTGATCAAGGCCGTCTTCCGTCTTACGCCTTTGGCACCGGTAACGGCGTGGTATAGGCTTCGGAACAGGTGTGGTGGAAAACTGGATCGATTAACGATGCAGGTGGGTAGATCGGAACAGCCTTCGAAAGCCACCAATTTTCGATATGGGCTCATACAGCCCGTATAATAACTATAGTGGAGACAATCAGATATCACCACAACGATTCACTACAACAAGTACTCTCTAAAAAAAGTACTCTCTACAAAAAGTGTATTTATTTACTATTCAAACTCTATTGCGTGTTTTTGTCATGAATTGACCTTGTTTTGTTTTTGTCATGAATTGACTTTGTTTTGTTTTTGTCATGAATTGACTTTGTTTTGTTTTTGTCGTCATGAACTGACTTTGTTTTGTTTTTGCTTAATAAAATGTAATATAATTTAGAAATTGTTTAATATTTTTTTTACATAGAATAAGGCGAATAAGCATACATATGAAGTATTGGCTCAATATATTTTACGGCATATATAGTTTTATGTACCTATTAATATAATATCTTATTATTATTATATAAGTAGTCAAAACCCCCTTTTGGGAGCCAAAGGGGAAGTAATGCTAACGCGGTATAATATACTGATAAAAATGTTCTCGGGACGACTACTTTTTGTGAAACTGGTGTACCTACTTGTGTTCGGGTGTTCCTTGTAGTACCTACCTATTGCGACATGTAAAACTGTGTAGGTAACATTTTAGAGTTACAGGTTTACTTTACTTTTGTTAAAGTTTTATAGCAACATGAGATTTCATCAACATGCAAATAGCATTATCATATATTATGAGCCCATATCAATTTTTTTAACAGCCCATTCATTGATAAATCATTATTGTCAAATGATTCAATAATTTTTTTAAATTGAAGTAACTACTTCAACAAATGATGTATTGAAATCTTCAGTATATATACTTACAATGTTCAATGTACTTTGACGTACACTTAAAATATCCATTCGATTCAATTCAAACAAAAAACCAAAGTTTTTATTTATACCTATTATCTAGATAAACTGCCTTTCGTTCATTTAAATTCGAACATAATGTTTATTATTATTAGTTGTTTCTTAAATTCCGAGTTTTCCATTATATCATAAATTTGCATGTTTTCTTTTTGACTCTGTGAGGTAAAAAAAAAAAATTACAAACAGTTTACCGCCCCCAAAAAACTTCCGCAAAGGGCAAATGCCCCTTTTTCCCCCCCATTAATGAGTCCCTGCCTATATGTTTTTTAATGTACCTATTGCTTTTAAAGACTTTGGCCCTTTTTATACCTGTTAAAAGTTAAAAATATGTATTATTAGTTTTTATATCATTTCAACGATGTATCAATGTATGATTAGTTAACTACACGACCGCGGTTAATATACCAGTGGTATGGTATTTCAGTTTTACATATTTTAATATGAGCCTAACTTATGCCAATTTTACAAGAAGTTTAAGTGTAAGTAAAAGTAATGTTTAACGGATAATTTTTTTGGTGGGGTTTAGCCCCCATTCTCCAACCCTATAAAATATATTTCCATCGTATTCTCAAATAAATTCAATCAAAAATAAGACAGTGACCTTATTCAAATCAATGTTCAATGGAGTGTAAAGTATGCTTCAGGGATAGAAGAGGTGTCATAATATTTACAATTTTGGGTTTGACACCATTTCGAATTGAACCCAAAATTAACTGTACATACTATAACCATATTTTGTATTCAAAAATTAAAACCAAATAAAAATATATCACTGTAAGCAAGCATGAGTAGAAATGCAATAACTGCATATGAATTACTCAAGTATAATATTATGTAGTTCATAGTGAAATAAATTTTTCAAATTGAATTATAACAATCGATAAATCAGTCTTTTTTTAAACCACGGACAATATTATTTATCTTTCATAGTAATTAAACTAAAATTAATTAAAGTGTTTAATTATATAATAATACAATTACCTATAATTGCTTAAAGAATCATCCGTTTGTTTGAATTAATTTAATTCACTATAATACAAAAACGCTTGCTCATCAGTGGGCAACTCCAAGTGATTGATTGTATAATTATAAGACGTTACAATTTATAACAGCAAAAAAAACTAAATACCAGTGTCCGCTGATCTATAGTACCTATAAAGTAATAATAATTAATAATCACCGATCACCGTTTAAAACAAAATATATATTTTTAAATATCTTAATAAATTAATACAATTCTTGTTTATTGTTTATTGATACATCAATAATCAATTGATGCTTATTTTAAAATAATAATTTACATCAAACAATAATATAAAACTCTGTATATGAAGTAAAATATATTTATATATGTAAGCATCTCTAAAAAATATTATTATTTCTATATTATATTAAAAAATACGTGTATAATAATATAATAATTATTATTCACTTTATGTACATAAAAAATATCAGAAAATGAATAGCAAAACATATTGGGAGCAGTATTTTGAATAAAAGTCATATATTTCTTTGCAGAAATAGAAAGGGAATAAATTTGTGTATATAAACAAACTTCTCAATTTACAACCTATTATACAAGTCAACTTAAAAATAAAATAGATCCATGGAAAGTTGCCGGCGAAACAAACAGCATGACTAGTTTTCTAAGTTTTGAAAAACGGTATTACAAAATGAAATGTAAAACAAACAACTATACATTCCACATAGCAAGACAGACTGTGTAACTCAAAGTGCCACTAAAGTTTACTCTGCGAGTATAAGTCACATTGATATGAAGTATTAGACTATTATATTAATAAATGTGAAAACAAAATATATGCATGCATTATTATAAACATAGTGAGCGACTCTGGGCTGATATTTTAGTTCCAAACGTCAACAACAACAAAGCAAAAAGGATTGAAAGCAGTATGAGTATTTCATTTATATTTTCCTTGTAACTAAAAATAGTAAAATTCTAGAGATAAAATAAAATAAAAACTCAATTAATTTCCTAATGATTGCCGAGTAAAGTAAATGTCATTGGACGAATTTTTTAATATCTATAATAGGTTCAATAAAAATGTACCTAATTATTTAATTATTTAATTACTTAAAATATACCTGCCTGTATTGTTTTTATTATTGTTTCGCCTTGTGCTTTTGTCGTCTGAACTCGCGTATACTGATAATTTACAATGGACAAAAACTTAATCCAATTACCAATAACAGTTCCAGTATATCATACTGAATGGTGTTTTAACCATAGTTGAAAACAATAAATACTAATTATTACTTACCCATCACTTTTCATTATCATGTTATCTAATTGATATATTTATGTGCCCTTTATAGATTTAGAATTAAGTTCTAAAACCACCCATATATAAAGTCTCGAAAAAGACGTAGTCACCACTCACCACTATTAAAACTATCTGATTAAATTATTAGACTTTCGAAGTAATAGGAGCAATTGAGAATAAATTATGGTGGATTGTTATAATTAAAATAAATCAAAACTTCTCGACGGGCTCTGATATCCAATCAAATATTATAATGCCCATATATCGTAATTTATAAAATTTTTAATATTCATTTTATCATTTATTTATTTTATTTGGTATAAAAATAAAAACTATTTGTATAAAATAAATTAATAATTCAATAATACCTATATAATATAATAATAATCATTATGTAGGTACTAGCTGATCCAGCGCACTTAGTCGGCCGTAAAATATGATAACTCTTAAAAAAAATTACGATAATTCTACTTCTTTTGGGTGCAACACTCTGCAGTAAGTGTAACTCAGCCACTCTGGGCCCTGGTAAACAATGCTGGAAAATTTGATTTAATGCATGCCTGATCTCCCCGAATAACCAATTGACGTTAAATAATATTTATATTAGATCTTAAAAACACAGTTGGCTACACTGCCGAGTCGTGCACATGCACTTTGCGATGAAAAGAGACAACGTTATCAGTCGTATTGTTGTGGGAAAGAGAGGTCCACCAGTACTATTTTTGTGCAGCAGACTCTTATAGTACCTATAGATAGACAGTGTAAGACGTTATAAACTAAAATTACACTGGACTCACAAGTAATATAATTTAATTTCAACGTACCTAATTTATTGCGAAACCGTTATTATAAAGCGTATATTGCTAGTAATGTGATAGTACCAGGCTTATCACGTCATGTCAATCGACTCGTGTGCAATTGTTTTAAATATACATTTCGTATTATGTAGACGTGTTACGAATTACGATTGAAATACATTTGAACATATTAATACTCTGCAGTAGGTACGTAATTACCATAATAATCGACTTGTAAGTATTATATTTTATACCTAATTATTACATTAAAGTATTATTTTATTATTTGTCTCCAATGTTATCTACTGATTACAATTACCTATATCTAGAGAGACTTTATATAATAATATATTATTATCTAGGCTCTCTACCTGTACCTAATGGATATAATCTGACATGAAAAGTTGTATTCGATTGAGGTATTATCATTTATCATTAATAAAGTAACTCCGTTGTCGTGGTATTTAAAATCCATATACCTAGTACAACGAATAATGAATAATGATAGTACAGTAAAACCTCGTTAAAACGGCAAATACCAACGACATCCATCTATACATTCATGTTATCCATTAAACTATTTAGAATCCAAGAAAAGTTTGTTATTACACCGATCGAATTCCACCAATGCACTCCGATATACGGAAATCGACTGTAACGGCCAACGAATATAAAATAATATTATAGCCTGAATCCTCATTCTTTACCAATT